AAAAAATCCACTTTTCTTATACAACTGAACACACTAGTAATTGTTCATTTCTTTCCTGTCATGATTATGTAACACTGAACATGGCTTCTCATAATTATAAGGCTCAAACAAAGTGCCTCGAACAACTATGCATGACTGGCGCTTGAGTGACACTGCCCAAGCAAAATGACTGCCACAGTTCAGATTTGGCACTTCTAATAAGAGTAAAATTTCTCTGGTAGTCTACTTAAGAACAAATAACTTGTGTGCCAGACTGACATTCACAACCACTATACACTAAAAGTAACTTTTTTGAATAGAGAAAACAGACCAAAACAGAGAAACTTGCCAATTTACAAGAGGTATTTTTTAACGAACCAAGTTTGTTGGGTGCTTAAGGTGCTGTTGAAAAAGTGAGTGGCCTGGGGGCTGCAAATTTGACACCCCTGCTCTAAATGACTTGTTCACCCATCATGGCCAATAACTTTTCAGTGTTTAGTTAAATAGTTGGAGATGAGTTTGGTGAATCATATCCCAAGCCATCACAGAGAGACCAACTCATTACAGGCATAATATAAAATATCAAAACAGACAAGGAAAAAAATCAACAAAATAACCCCAATTGCCAGAGGATCACAGCACCACCACCAATGCCACCACAAGGTTGGCAGTCAGCAATCACATGTATTGCCCAGCCCACCCACACATGCTCAGGAAAAATGTGACAAAAAGGGAGACAACAAAAGCAACCAAGGTATCAACAGTGAAAGTAATGCTTAATTTTATTTTAGCCCTAATTTCTGAGCTAATGTCTCTCGGTTGCTTCCAATCAACTTGAAAAGAAGCACAGGGAACAGGAGAGGAAGAACGCTATGGGGATGAAAAACATCCGACGTGCTTAGTCAAACTCTGCTAAACCACATGCAGGAAAATGGAATGCCGTGCCAAGGAGCACAGGCCTAAGCCAGAAAATTTAAAACCATTGGTGGATCCACAGCCCCTAAGCCAGGTTGAATAATAATGGAGGGGCCTTGCCATAAAAATAGTGAAGCTAACATCCAATCTCTGGATCAGTACACAGAAGACCTGAAATGAGTTAACAGCAAAATATTTGGCAAACACAAACACCCTTAAAGACATGGACAGTCAAATTGAGCAACACTGGCAATTATCAGATGTTAAGACAGGAAGTGCCAAAAGGAATTCATTAGATGAAAGCAGTTGCAAGCATAAGGGAGGAGTGACAGAGGAGACAACAATCCCTCCGTCAGGGAATCAGGGACAGAACCAGAGGCACCACCATGAATTGGATCATGCCAGTAAGCATCAATCAGGTCCAAGTAAATGAGTAAAGGCTTACTTGAAACCACCTGTCAAACTTGGGAATCAGTGGTCATCTGGGAAGTAGGACACAATAAAATGCAAGTACTGTTTTGAGAAAACGATCAAGGATAAAGGTTCGGGAATAGAGTCCTTTGACACGAAACGGCCAGGACACTACCTAGAGGTGAGGAATCATTACATTAACCACCCCCCTCCTTGTCCAACCAATCAGGTTGGACCACCATCTGGATTAGATGCATAGACAGCTTGGAAGGAATCAGAAGCACTTTGGGAGGAAGGGAAGGACAAACCATAGAAATCGGTCACCACACCATGAAGCAAATGAGTAAAAGTTTTTGGTATGATATATGAAGCAAATAGTGCAGAAGACAAGTATGGAAATTTACCTTCACAACATTTTTATCAAAAAACATTTCCAGTGACAAAAAAATGGAAAACCTGCACTAAACTGGTTCAAGCCTTGTGGTCCACAGTGACTAAAGCCACAGGCAATTTTTGGAACTTGGATATGAAGCTGTCATGAACCCACTTTACAGAGTAGGATAATTAAACTCCATTAACCAAACAAAAAGAGGAAATCCCAGTATAACACACTAAAAGACTGGAATGACCACTTTTCAAGACAGAATGCTCAAATGACAGAAATAAACCAAGTTCTCCAATGAGTATAGTGTTGGATTGTCTGCCAACTAGGAGAAACCTGGGACCTCAAAACATAACCAGGAAATTGGATGTAAAGCCAAACTCAAAAGTAATATCATTGTCGTCGAAGAAAGAAATTGAGCAAGTCGCAACAAGCCAGAGGATAGAAGGAAGGACATGAAATTTGCAGAGATAAATCCAAACCCTAAACAGAGACCTGGAAGTGTACCTTAGGGAAAGAGATGGCAGAATCCAGTTGAAACTGGGCTGGAGGTTAATACAGTGAACCCATCTGTAGGTATAATCATAACATGGCTATCACCATGGCTGGTTTGTACAAAATGAAATCCTCAGGGAACCAGATACAATAAGAATTCCAGAGAACAACATAGAGCACATAGAGGTGTCCAGAGACAAAGTGGAAAAAATGCTCAAGGAGCTAAATAAGAACAAAGCAGTTGGTCCAGATGGAGTTTCACCATGGGTTCTGAGAGAATGTGCACCTGAGCTCAGCATTCCTCTTCAACTGATTTTTCAGGCATCCCTGTATACAGGAGTTGTAGCTGATGTGTGGAAAAAGGCTAACATAGTTCCAATCTACAAAAGTGGAAGCAGGGAAGACCCCCTTAATTATAGACCGGTATCATTGACAAGTGTAAGTCAAAATATTGGAAAAAATTATTAAAAATAAATGGGTAGAACACCTGGAGAGAAATGATATAATATCAGACAGACAGTATGGTTTTCGATGTGGAAGATCCTTTGTATCGAATTTATTCAGTTTCTATGATCGAGCAACAGAGATATTACAAGAAAGAGATGGTTGGGTTGACTGCATCTATCTGGACCTAAAAAAGGCTTTCGACAGAGTTCCACATAAGAGGTTGTTCTGGAAACTGGAAAATATTGGAGGGGTGACAGGTAAGCTTCTAACATGGATGAAAAATTTTCTGACTGATAGAAAAATGAGGGCAGTGATCAGAGGCAATGTATCGGACTGGAGAAATGTCACAAGTGGAGTACCACAGGGTTCAGTTCTTGCACCAGTGATGTTTATTGTCTACATAAATGATCTACCAGTTGGTATACAGAATTATATGAACATGTTTGCTGATGATGCTAAGATAATAGGAAGGATAAGAAACGTAGACGATTGTAATGCCCTTCAAGATGACCTGGACAAAATAAGTATATGGAGCACCACTTGGCAAATGGAATTTAATGTTAATAAATACCATGTTATGGAATGTGGAATTGGAGAACATAGACCCCACACAACCTATATATTATGTGAGAAATCTTTAAAGAATTCTGATAAAGAAAGAGATCTAGGGGTGGTTCTAGATAGAAAACTATCACCTGAGGACCACATAAAGAATATTGTGTGAGGAGCCTATGCCACGCTTTCTAACTTCAGAATTGCTTTTAAATACATGGATGGCGATATACTAAAGAAATTGTTCACGACTTTTGTTAGGCCAAAGCTAGAATATGCAGCGGTTGTGTGGTGCCCATATCTTAAGAAGCACATCAACAAACTGGAAAAGGTGCAAAGACATGCTACTAAGTGGCTCCCAGAACTGAAGGGCAAGAGCTACGAGGAGAGGTTAGAGGCATTAAATATGCCAAAACTAGAAGACAGAAGAAAAAGAGGTGATATGATCACTACATACAAAATAGTAACAGGAATTGATAAAATTGATAGGGAAGATTTCCTGAGACCTGGAACTTTAAGAACAAGAGGTCATAGATATAAACTAGCTAAACACAGATGCTGAAGAAATATAAGAAAATTCACTTTCGCAAACAGAGTGGTAGACGGTTGGAACAAGTTAGGTGAGAAGGTAGTGGAGGCCAAGACCGTCAGTCAGTAGTTTCAAAGCGTTATATGACAAAGAGTGCTGGGAAGACGGGACACCATGAGCGTAGCTCTCATTCTGTAACTACACTTAGGTAATTACCACCACCCAACTTGTGCCAAATAATATCTAATGTCCAACATGCTGCAAACCTCCCCAAGAAAATCAAAATTATACCTGAACCCATGGAAAAGGAGAGAGGAGGGAGGGGTAGAGGTGTCTACTATGGAGACCCTTAGTCCCCCACGAAGAGATGGCCTTCATAATATCCCACAAACACACGGGACAAACCTAAGAAGAGATTGAGTATGACACCATCACATCTGTTAACGAGTCCTCACTCAAATTGAAAGGATCTTTCATAAGTCATGAAGAATCAATACTTAAGAGCCAGGAGAGACCTTAAGTCAAGGCCATTTAATAGTCCTTATCAGAAGGGGAGGCAGGGAGAAGAGGCAAAAGTGGATGCCAGCCAAACAAGTAGAACCCCAGATAGGGAAATTGGGTGGTCCAGAATTAGTACAAATCTAAACCCTAAATATTTTCATTATAAAAAAAGAGAAGAGGCACACCTCCCACAGCTCTGGCCACCACTGGTGATGGCAAAAGGTTATATCCTAAGGTACTGCACCAAGGGTAAAAGCTGTCTTATAGGCAACCACCCTGGAAAGTGGTTTTATCCAACCAGTTATGGAAATGAATTTTGGATAATAGGTATATGCTGGTTTTTGTGAATTATATCTAAGGATGAATCCATGATTTATGCTTGGGGATCACAAGGAGGTCTGTCCATAATTGTAAAACATTTAATTTGTTGAAACTTGACAAAAGATAGCTAATAAATATCTCCATTAATACAGAAAAAATGAAAAGTAGATACACCTGTGTAACCCCCCCCCCCCTTTTCATCACTGCAGCCAACACAGAAGTCATGAAAAACTTATCACACACCCATTGGTGAAAAAGTCCTTGAACCTAGGCAAGAGTAACAAAGGCAATTGGAATGTCTGCCAAGTTCAAAAACACTGACCTGCATTCCTGAAAGCTGCAAGCAGCTCAAGTCAAGTCACAAGTGGGTGAGAGAGGCATCACAAAAACCAACAAAGTGTTAAAGGCAATATAAAATCCTAAAACATATATTCATAATATTGAAAAATACATGGCAAACAGGCCTACCGGACCCAATAGGAACTGGTCGTCCAATCCATTAGTGAAGGACCGGAATCACACCCAACCCTGTAAAGTATAGATGAGGAAAGGTGGTGGGGAGGGAAAAAATCAAGAAATATTCCATTATGAAGGATATCAAATAAGAAAAAAAGGACAACAAAGTCTAAACAAATACAAAACATTTAAGCATAGTGGCACCTTTGTTTCATTACCTCCATTTACCCTCTTAACTACTAGTACATTTATACATACCTAATTCTGTTCACATTCTGGAATATGAATGAAAGTGGCAAATGCTGAACATTATATGACTGACTAGTATACAGAATTCTTTGGCAAATATTTTGGGAAAAGAATAGTTTTAACTTAAAGGTACAGTATTTGAAATGTATGGGGAAGATTTTGCATATGGCCAATCCCTCAAGGATAGAGAAGCTTGCAGAGGAAACAAAGCATTAAAATTATAGATGCAGAGCTATTTTGGATGAAATAAAAGCCTAGACAATTAATCACCCATACTTAGGAAATAAAATTTACACAAGAAATAACTATAGAATTATTGATAAAGCTAATACTGTATTACTTGCTAATTTAATGATTTTTTTTAAATCATAAGTCACCACAACCAGATAACTAATAAAATAGACTAAAATTTGGAATGAAAAAGTAAATTCTAAAGAAAATTGTTTTGCAAGGTAGCAAAATGAGAGGTGAAACTGATGGAGGTAGATGGAATTTTTTTTTGTATCAAATGGTTACAATCTTTAAAGATAGGAATGTGGAAAATATAGAATTTGTTGCAGCAAAAGATATGACAGAGGTAACTCTCAGAGTTGAAGACATTCAGGAAAAGATACCAATGCAGAGGCTGGAGATGTTATGTTTATAATCAACAATCTGGATTTTTCTTCTTGATCACATAAACAGTTATGAAAATGATTGACATGCAAAATATACAAAATTAGAATAAAACAAAAGTACATACATTACACTTTTAATCGACCTAAACCCAAAATCAGCAAGTTAAGAAAACGTTATGTCACTTGCATACAAATTTCTAAAATGTAGCATGCCAGAAAACAGAAAATAAAAGTAACTTTAAAAACAATTTTATCTACTTTGTCATAATTAAACGATTAAGATTTAAAAAATAGAATAATTAACAGATTAAGATAAAATTACCTTGCTCCTATCATTGGCATAACATCATTTATGCTCTTGATGCGCTGTGAGGTAAGAAGGCAGACTACCAGCATAGCCAAATCCCGTGAATATGAGCGATTAATCAGCTCTAGAGCAGTCTGGATATTATCTCGTTGTAATGCTAGCACCGAGTTGCAAGCAAGGGCCACCATCAGCTTACCCAGGTTCACAAGGTCCTCTTGCTGGAAGAAAAAAAATCCAAATATTTGTAACTTTAAAATCAGATTTTGTTTACAACTTTTAAACTGAGACAAAAAAAACCTTGCCCACCCTCTTTTCTTGGAGAAGCCCCTTGTGGCTTCCTGAAGCTATCTTGCCAAGATGACACTCGACTACTAGTCGCATTAACTGCGAAGTTCTGAATGGTCTACCAGGGATCACAGCCTGAACCTAGTCTCACACCCCACCCCCCATTCTTGCAGGCACAGAGACCAAGTGACACTTCCCCACCCCACCAGCAAAGCATTTAGAAAATCAGCAAACCCCTATAGACCTCTGCTGGGTTCAAAGAAACTGCAGCCTTGAAACTACTAAATGAACTCTCCTAAACAATATAAACAAACAAATCTTTCAAACAATCAGGAGCTAATTAGCACTAACATCTCCCCTCACCCCCCACCCCAGTCAGTGGGGGAAGGGCAGAGCTCCAAATTTTCTCCAGCATCTGTTACAGCTGCAGACACTTAGTTGTCCACTATAGGATTCCTTGGTTGTCATCTAGCTGCATGGGTCTTACTGCTTTTAAGCCAAGAACCAGCCAACCTTGCATTTTTGTCCTCTGGGGCCATTTGCTTGACATTATTTCGTATTACAGCTAACTTCACATGCATATTTTCTGGCCAGTTTGTGTTGTGTGGACCTAGCTCGTAGGTTACTTGGAGCTGCATGTACTCGGTCCCCCTTCCTTGTGTGCTCCCTAGTGCTTGCACAGACACTTCTCTTCTCTGGTATGTTATGGAGTACACTCTTTAGAGGCTAGATAACCGGGTTGGGTGTGTTGGGGTTCTTTTGCCTCTGTTTAGACTCTTGGTTTGGAGAGAATGTTTTGGCTGCTTAGGGTTCACAGGGATTAGTGTGCTTGATTTACATGGCATGCCTAGGTCAGCCTTCACAGCTGCAATAACTAGGATGTGTTGGTCAACTGTTATAATTCTGACAAGTGGCCTCAGTGTCTGGATGTCCTGTTCGGTCAGTCCTTTGGGCACCTGATAATTCCCCATGGGTTTTGGCGAGGCCTATGCATATTTCCCCCTTACCCCACCCTCCGGGAACCCACCCATCACCTTGTGGGTTTGTGGGCTATTTGTCATTCATGCCCTGAGGCATGAATGACAGATCATTTTAGATAGTTCACAGGGATTAGTATTATCCCTGTGATAATTAGTATTTGAAGTAACTACTAAAATAAAATAAAAATACACTAGCTAAAGGGCCCAAGCAGGACAAAGTCCAAGGGATGGCCAGAACATAGCTTAAAATATCGGCATGCTATGACTGACAGACCGGAGATGATAGCAGCCACCATAATATCAGTGAAAGAACTGACCTCGAGAGCCAGCTGCTGGGATGGCCGGGTGACATGGTGGTGGCTATCGGTACCAACGAATTCATTTAGTGTCAGTAATTTTATACTTTGAATAAATTTTTATCTATCCATTACATTTTGTGATCATATAATTTTGGTTAATAAATATTATACTGTACTCAATTTAATATTTAATTCATCAGGTTAGTTTTTATTGATTTTCTTGTTCAGTGTGATTAGTTTATGGAGTTGTTTAGCAGCTTGAGGCTTTGTTTTCTGTGAACCCTCCAGTAGTTCATAACATTACAATGACTTTCAGGATGCTTTTCCAGTGGAGTGGTAGATTGTCACTTGCGTGCTCCTTGCACCTCTGTGAGCGAGGCCAGGTTTTGGCACTAATCCCTGGTAGGCTAAACAAGAACTACCAGGACTAATGTGACTAATTAGTATTTAGCAATCTCAGCAAGATAGCTTTATTGAATTATCAAGATCCCCCCCCCCTAGAAAATGCATAAAACATACCATACAGGCCAAAATTAAGCTATAAATATATTATATTTTTATTTTTTTGCAATATAATTTCACTTAGTGCACATTATTCTTTGTTTTGTCCTCTTAATATAGTATAGTAAAATGTTAATAACATTTACAAAAGCATTTTGATTTCTTAATACTGTATTTGTTTAACAGGTCATATTTTTCTCTGCACAATTTCATTCCAAAACAAAAATAAATAACTTATTTGAAATCAAATAGATAATACACACTAAAAGACAACCTGAAATCAATTGTAAAAATCATGCATATTCATGAATGCAATATATAGCAACTTCATCTATTTCATGTTAACATCTCAAAACTAAGACTATCAAGCTATACAAACCTGATACTGTGGCATACTGGCAAGGGGGTTGGCAACATTAGCATCAAAATTCAATACATCATGAATTCCACAGCAGTTGACTCTAATTCTTGCTTTGTTGTCTGTAAGGAGGATTTTTGTAGGGTCTAACGTGCGACATGAAAGGCCCTGTGTGTGAATAGTCCGCAGGGCCCCCGTTAACTGGATTATGTAGTTCCATAGAGTGGATTCTGGTAGAAGACCTATTACATGAAACAGGAGAAATTTAATAGAACATGTGTATAATTAGGAATACTACTTTGAAAGGCATAACTAGGTATCGGTTAATTATTTAATGACTGAATAACCCAGCATTGAATAAAATTAGATCTCTTTATGGTAAAGCCTCAGTGGCTCACTATAGATATCTTGCCGAGAATGCTTCATACTACAAAGTTATGTCTGTTGCCGAAGTCTTGTTTGGCCTACTGGAGACCAGAGCCAGAACCTGGCCCATCACGGAGGCAGAAAGAGAAATGATGTTCTGCCATTTCACCGGGAAAGCATCCAGAAAGTCAGCAAAGGTTTACATATAACTGCTGGATTTACATGTCTAACAAGCCTCAAAACTGCCAAACAACTCTCCAAATGATCCAAAAGAAACAAAACTAGCTCGAACCCGTAGGTACTGATACCGTCACCAGGCAGCCTAGAGCTTGGTCCTCTGCCAACTCACCAGTCACTTCTGGTACAGATAAAAACCACCCCAACAAACTAACGAACCTGGAGGGGGAAGAGGGATACAGGGAGACAGAGAGCCATTGGAGATCTATGGGGAAAAAAAAAAAAAAAAAAAAAAGAGCTTAATTACATTCAATGCCGAGTCTCTGGGGAAGCCTCTGTGGCAACCCTGTAGCTAAATAACCACAGAGAAAGACGAGGGAATCACTTGGGCGAAGAGACGGCAGTTATTTTAGAACATCACAAGTAGGTAGCAGGCTGCTAACCACGGGTAACTGCCTGCCTGCTAGGTAAGCAGGCAGGCAGCCTAAGGGTAGGTAGCAGGCTGGCTAACTTGACCATACTGCAGATAATATAAGATATACGAACCATGGAAAAGAGTGTCAAAGATACAGGATTAAGCCACAAAGTATCTACTGAAGCAGAGCCAGTGGCATGCAGGTGGAAACAAACTTCAGCCACCAGACACAACAAATGATGCACCTCCAGCCAAATTAACAAAGCATTAACCACAACAGATTCCACAGGAAGACCACAAACTCATTCTTTGCTAGAAAAGGAGACAGCTGCAAGCAAAGAAAATACTCACAGAGCCAAAGGAACAGAAACCCTGTCTCTAGAGAAGAGCATGAAGATCCCCAACCCATCAACTAGAGAGGGGAGGGGGGGGTGGGGGGGAGAGAAAAAAATTATAGTTATCCTGGACCGAATGGCATGAACCGAGGGGAGGAGAGAAAATTTAGGACTGTCAAGTGCCCAATATGGCCCAGGAGTAGCATGAGCAGGCCATAGGTGAAAAAATGTGTGAGACAACTCGTGGGATGGAGCTATAGCAGTATAGGTACACATCAAATGCTGTTTGATGTATGCTAGCAACAGTAGTTCTGCCAACACTGGCAACAATATTAGGCATGAGATCTCTATTAAGAAATAACCACAAGACAGTATAACACAAAACAGAAACCGAAGAAAACAGTGGAGAGAGAGAAACAAGCAAAACGAACACCTAGCCACTTCATACTATCACCAAGGAAGACAAACTCAGATGGGACTCAAATATCTCAGCTACCTGCGGAGCATATAATCATTAATAAACCTGCATCAGACAGTCCAGATGCAAAGAGGCAAGGTAGTGGTACAGCAAGGTACATCACGGAACCGATCCGCTTAACCCTCAGAACGCACATATTTCCACGAATATAGGGGGGGGGGTATAATAGAGAAAAATATTCGAATTATGTAAAAATAACTTATACATTTTTTAATTTTAAACAAATCTCCATCTTATTGGCTTCAGTGTCATGAAACTTTCATCAAAATATTTTCAGAAATTGATTTTAGACGAATTTAAAAAAAATAAGAACATTTTATTGATAAGGAATCCTAATAACTGGAACCGAAGGATTATGCAGTAATAAAGAGATGCAAGCATCTGTCCTATGCTCAAAGAAGAGCAATAGTAGTAAGAAGTGTCCACAAAGTATATATGTAGTTGATGCCTTTATATCATTGCTGAGTAATACATAATAACAAATAATAATGAATAACTAATTTAATATGATCTACTGTATTTCATTATGTATCATATAAATACACTGTCCAATGTTAATATATGTTACTTTCATTAATGTCCCAAAATTATTATTTTTTAGGGGATTTTTTTTTTTAAGATTTTAGTTTTTTCTCCTTTGTTTATAATCTGATTTTGTTATAACCTTCACATCTTGGAGAATGCATATGTTTTCATAACTATGTGAAGATAAAATGAAATTAGTTAACAAATAAATCAGTCACAACTCTGAAAACTTGGGACTTAATTTTTTTTGGCTGATTTTTCTGATTTCAAACTATATTTTCTTTGTCTCTTTAGGTTGTTTTGATGATTATGGACCATATTTGGGCTTTTTTACTTATATAAAGTATACCCTAAATATATCCCCTAAATCATTATAATTATTATAATTATCCCTATATTTTGTGTTTTTTGGGGGCTATTTTTTCTTTGATTCCATTTCAACACACATTGATCTATAACTTTCACATACAGTAATCGAGTACGAATGCCAAACAATGTTTATTAAAACATACAATTAAATTAACGAATTAAAACTACCTTTATTCATTGTTGATAACTTCAACTTCAATTATCTCTGAAACCAGAGTTTCAACTTTGAATGGCTTCTAAAATTCCAGTTATTAACCGATTTGCATTATTTTGACATTGTGTGCTCAGCTGTCTGTTTTATAATCCCATCAGAATGGATTTTTCATAAACTTTATACATTTGGAGTTGTAATTTTTTGGGGTCTAAATTTGCCGCATATTTCAAATGCCCTATTGACGATTTTTTTTACAGTAAACTATACTGAAAACCTATATTCTAATTTGAAAAAATGAAGATCATATGCTATTCTGAGAGAATAACAACATTAATCCTTAAACTGCGCAACACGCCTGCAGGCTCACGTCTGGTTTGCGCAACGCGCCTCCGGGTATTTGTATTTTTTACATTTCATTCAAAACTCCCGCGGCTACATGGGGTTCACATGAGCTTCCTCAGGGCTCTTGTAAACAGACGCCATCTTTAAAAAAAATTGTGGTCCACATTCCCGGGTGTGGGAGCCTCAGTAGTGTGTGAGCAACCAAGGCTGGCGCAGCATGAGCGCACAGCACTGCTGTTCAGTGTGTGACCACAGCATTGCCTAATAATGTCAAAATATATATATAACTTGTATTATTTAGCCATGATAGTGTTATAGAAGAGCCTGAGTATGATAATGACTGGGTACAATGTTCAAATATCAGTGATTCAATGTTGTTAACGATGTTCACAGCGCTAGCCACAGCACCACAGCATTATTTCGTCCATCTAGGAATCTTCAAACGATTTCTTAGGTTCCTTTTCAAAATAAACGTGTGGTCAATTATTCATTTACAGGAATTAGTGACCAGGATTGTGGTTATAATTAGCGTTGTGCGAAGTATTGTGGAAGGAGGAATTTTGGTGAGGGAGGGAGGGCGAGAATTGAGGTAGCCTCATTGTGTGTGTGTGGCTGCCACTCTTGTTTTGCTCACCATACTAGCTTAGTGGTTCGCTATGGGCAACACATATGTACATGGGTATATATAGTGTGTGTATATAGTGTAAGAACAGCAACAGGAGAATGTTAAGAGGAGCTATTTTGGTGAGGGAGGTGACGTAATCGTAGCGTCATCTGCTGTCGGCTGTGTGATTTTTCATGCAGTGTATGGTGGCCACTGTACTGTTTGGACACAATATCGGCTTACTTGCATAGTTCTGGTAAATAAAACATGTAGATAGATATATAGAACATGTGTAATAAGAACTATAACAGTATGGTGGGAGGAGCAATGTTGGCGAGTAAGATGTTGGAGTGAGGGAGACTGGCTGGGTGTGGCTGCTCTCACTCGAGGTGTTCTGAGTGTGTTGATGGTGAATGTATATAGTGTGTGACAGTGTATAGTGTGTAAATAGATTGTATATATACATAAATTAGCATGATACATAGTAAATATGTGCTGCATATGTGTACACAAGTGTCATGCACGTAACAGTGTCTTCGGACAGTACGGATGTTTTACTGCCATAATATAGTGTACGTGTTCACTATACATAGAATTAGCACATAAAAACAAATAAAATGTATTTGGAACTGTGCGAAAAAAATGAACAAAAATATATTCGCGGCAACTCGCGCGCCCCGCCCCGAGCGCCATACTGACCCCGGGAGCGTACGTCACGGGCGAACAGGGAATGATGACGTCATGCCCCAACTTATGGACCCCATAGCAGCCAAAGTAAGTACAATTTCGATTTTTTTCTACATACCCATACTGAAGGAAGGGTTTCTGACACTTTAAAAAGAAAAAAAAAATTTCCAGAGAATTTACTTCCTGCGCACTACGGGGGTGTCATATTTGGAGGCAACGCAGTTAAGGGGTTAAATGAACAATTAATAATAGTTCATATTTTTTATTCTGAATTGAAAAACTGAAGTTTTCAATATTCAATTATAAGTTAATTTTGATTCTCTTGTTTTTCATGTCAAGCTATGATCATTTAGACAAAGTTGGAGCATTTGCCTAGTTGATTATGCAAAAAAAAAAAAAGGAAAGTGTGCAAGTTTTAAAAACTTAAGTTAAATTATTTTTTGTCAAATCATATATGTATGTCTTGTATGGTCTAAGGGTTAAAAAAAAGTTGGAGCTATGGGAAAATGCTCGGGTTCAGACACCAGGCCAGAAGCGTCCGAAACCAAGGTTGAGCTGCCCACTAAGGAGCTATAAGGGTCACCACTCTTTTCATGAATAACTATAGTTTTCAAAGAACTCAGGGCAGCAACAAAAGGAATTCACTGCAAGACCCTCACAATCAAGGAACCGAGCCATGTAGAAGGGAAGATGCAGGTTCACTTCCAGGCAAACCAGACAAAAGCAAACCTTGTTACTGCCTCTACATCCCTCAGGAGATATATAACAAGTTCAAGGGCAACAGCAATGC